ACGCCGCGTCGCAGTTAAATCGCGGAGAGAAATTTGCGTTTTCCCGCCGTAGTGACTTTTTCCCACGAGCGCTTTGGCTTCCGCAAGCATTTGGTCTTTCCAAGAGCTTTCGGCTCTCCCGCGGGCTTTTTGAGCTTGCCGCGACGTTTTCGGCTTTTCCGCCGCAGGCACACGTGGCGCGACGCGGCGAACCGGCCGAGCGGCGCTCCACTGGCGCGGTGGCTGGGCGACGACTTACGGCGGGAATCGACACCCGCGGTGGTGGCGCGTTGGCAGTGGCGTGACACGACGACGCCGCGAGCGCCAGCAGTGCCAGCGGCCGGTCTCCAAAATTTTCCGTCCTTCGTCTCTCTCATTCTCATTTTTCGGGAGATTTCAATCCACCGCGGGGCCGAGCCGTCCGAGCGTTGCGTCCGAACGGGCGGCTGGAAGCCGCTGAAGCTGCCGAAGCTGGCGACTGCTGAGAGTGTTTACGACCGAAGGCTAACACGGCGCAGTGCCACGCAGTGCCACGCAGTGCCAGTGCCGCTCTCGGCTCGGCCCCCCGGGCTTGGCCTGCCCGGGCCTCTCACGGCCCCCCACCCCGAAAAAGGGGACAGACCCGGAATTGATCTGTCATTCACAGACCTAGTGCGCCCCCCTTTTCCTAGATCACTTGGCGTCCAAAGGTCGCTGGGCGTGAAATCAGATGGCGAGGGCCGCGGGGGGAGCAGGGGGAGCAGGGGCAAGGCTGCTGTGACCTTAACCTTCCACGGTCACGGCAAGTAGGACCTAACTCGGGCCGCGCCAGGCAGGCCTATGGCCTGGAGGGGAAAGCCGGTGCCAATTCGACACGCGCGTGACACGCCGCGGACACGGCGTTGCAGCCCAACAACAACACCAACAACAAGATCCCCGAGGAAGTGAAGTGGGGTGCGCGTTTGGCAATGGCACCGTGGCCAGCGGCAGCGTCGGCCGCGAGGCGCCGGACCGGCCATGGCTGCCATGGCATCCCGTCCGTCCCGAAATGTTCCGACAGGCCGGCAGCACTGCTGGCTGGAGGCTTGAGTCCCTTGAGTCGGCTGGAGGCGATATTATTTATCGCTTATCAAGTTTATACGGCGCCTGGACGTCGGACATGCGCCGGAGAATGTGGGACTTGGATGCGGTTTTCGGGGCGACGCGGGGCGAGGGGGAGGGCGGGGAGCGGAGGGGTGCGCCCCCCGCATCGCGACCGCCGCCGTGGCCGTCGTCTCCGTGGCAGCGTCCTCGCGTCCTCGGTGGCGCAGCGAGCAGCGCGACGCCCATGACGACCCATGGCCGGGGTCTCTCGGCCTGCCGGGCGTTCAAGTCACCAGCCAGGCAGGCAGGCGGCCGCATGCCGAATGCCTCATGCCGCGTGCATTGGAGCAGTTGCTTTTTGCCTGGAAATGCCACGGCCCACATCACGGCCCACATCACGGCCCACATCACGGCGTGCGCGCGGCTTTCGGCAAAACAGCGCCGCGGTGCATTCTGCTGCAAGCAGCTGTGCGGCTCTCTCGCGCCACGGCAGCACGGCGCGCACGTTCGCCTCGCCATGCACGCCAAGAAGTGCACGATGCACGATAAAGCCATTTGGCTTGGAGGCGCAACGCTTCTTGTGTGTCGTGCAGAGCGCGGAGCCATGGCGGAGCCCCGGTCGGCATCCATGCAGTTGGAGGGAGTGGAGGGGGCGAGCAGGGGGCGCTGCGCGAATGCAGCGAATGCACTCCAAGCACACGAGTAACCAACTCCAACCAACACGCCCGACGCCCACGTCCGCAGTGTCCTGGTGTTCCGCGCGGCGTTCATTAGGATGCACTTCCCTAACGAACGGGGCACCGCCCTGCGCCCCGCCCTGCGCCCCGCCCTGCGCCCCGCCCTGCGCCCCGCCCTGCGCCCGCCCTCGCCCCGCCCCGCCCCGCCCCGCCTTGCCCTCCGCCCCCGGCAGGCCGGGCAGGCCCTTTTACAGCGGCCCTTAGCCGCCTCCGTTTGGCTTTCTCCGCGGACCTTGAGTTTGACGGCGACCTTGGCGTGCTCGGGGCGCTGCCGCCGCTGCCGCCGGTCGGCGCACCATTCGGCGGATCTCTCAAACAAACGGGTGGATTAGCGCTTTCTCCGCGGCTCCGCGGCGAGGCGCGGTGTGCCGCAGTCTGCCGTGCCGCACGGCGCAGTGCGTGGAGGCGCCAACAGCCGGCAGCGGCGGCAGCCCACTGGCACTCCTGGTGGCGGTGCAGAAGTGCAGCCGAATGCCCAAGCGGCCCAAAGGAAGGGACAGACGGCCGCCCGGCTCCGCAAAGAGCCGCGCCAGGCTCGCTGGGCCCCTGGACGACATTGCGTTAGTACGCGCATTCGGTGCAGGATGTTTTGGCTCGGGTCCACGGAGCCTGGTGGCCCGGTGGCCCGGTGGCGGCGCGGTGGCGCGGTGGCCCAGCAGGCCGTGGCCCGCCACCCAACGGGACCAGTGCGCGGCGCGCGGGCCTCCAAGCCTCCAAGCTCCGAGGCGGACAGTCCCGGACGGCCCCACTGATTACTCGAAAAGAAATCGCGCCGCTTGATTGGCTGATTGGCTGAGCCGGGCTTCGTGCCGGCGAGCTTGGCGGTGTGGGGTTGCCTAGGGGTTGCCTAGGGGTTGCCTAGGGGTTGCCTAGAGGTTGCCTACGGGTTGCCTACGGGTTGCCTCCAGGTTGCCTCCAGGTTGCCTCCAAGATGCCTACCCGTGGCTCTGCCGGCGCCACTCACCGTCCTTTTCCGGTCGATCATTCATTACCGACGGTGCATCGCCCCGCCCCGCCCCACGGGCCGACGACGCGCCGACGCCGACGACCCACTGCGGCGGGGTGCACCGTCAGGTCTCCATGTCGTTCCACAAGTCGTTACATAAACGGAACGACCCAACGGTCCGCCAGGTCCGCGAAGAGACACTACGCCCACCCAGCCGGGGGAACGAAGGACGAACGACGAACACAGCCCGGCACCCCACACTGTGAGTCCACACTGTCGCGGTAGGGTCATCGTTACTCCGAAACATTCCAAGTCGAGCCCCCCCCTTCCTAACCCCGCGAGGAAAATCTAGCCGTGGCGACATCCGGCCTGCTGCAACTACCTCAATCCGGTCAGTCCGCCTGCATGCTCGCTGCACGCTGCTCGCGCCACAGTGCACGGTCGATTTCTCCAGCAAGGACGCGTTGAAGGCCAAAGGGGACCACCTCGGACTTGTCCACGAGCCGGACGACCACCGGCCGCGTGCCGCGCCCTGCCCCGCGAGCCCCGCGCCCCGCGCCATGCATGGCGTGCCCCAGCCGGACCGGTGACGCTGGTCCTCGGGTCCCCGCCGCCCTGGCCGCCCCCCGCCTCTATGTTCCTGGTGGCATGGTGGTCCTGGCTGCGGTGCTGGCGGTGCTGGTGCTGCTGGCGCGGCCCGTGTGACGTGGAAGACGAAGACACCCCAGCGCAGCCGGCCCGGCGCGGTGGGCATCGCCTGCCAAAACACACCATTTTCTTTTTATTGCGTTTCTTTTCCGCTGCGCGGCGGCGCGCGGCGTTTTGAACTGCCGGCCAAGCAGGGCACGGGGAAAACGGGGCGCATGCCGAGGCGTGGCGTTTGGCGAGTTTGGCGGCGACGCCGAAAGGACACACCGCGAGTCGGGGAGTCGGACCGCGGAGCCATCGCGGAGCCGTGGCGGTCATTGGGATAATTCGACCTGGTTCGGTTTCTCCGCCCGGCCCGAATCCACGCGTCCACCACGTCCACAGCCAGAGAGGTTAGTGTCCGCGGGCCGGCCGGCCGGCTCCAGGTCGACGACGGACGTGGACGGCGTAGTCCGGCCCGACCCAGCCTGTCGTCCTCGGCCGGGGCCCGGGGCAGGCGGGCGGGCAGGCGGGCAGGGCAGGCGGCGCGCGGCGCGTACTACATCAGGTTTGACCCGGCCAGGGCGGACACGGGGCGGTCGTCGTTGCCGTCGCACCGCGTCGCACGCCCCTGGCCGTTGCATCACCGAAATAAACAAACGGCTCATTACGTGATCGGTGGGTCTAAGTGCAGCGCTGCAGCGCCGCATGCCGGTCTCGGCGTCTCGGCGTCTCGGCCCCGTCTCGGACGCCAGGACGACCTTCGGGGTCGGCGTCGTCCGGCAGGTGGATCGTGGTGGCGGTGTCGGCGGCTTCGAACACCGATTGATTCCTTTCCCTGTTTGCTGATCGTTCCGCTCGCCGATGTCGTCGCGCTGTCTCTCTCGCGCTCGTGGGGCGTTCCAGGGTGCGAGAGGGACTGGTGGACGAAAGCGCTGTGCGACTCAGGTCCACGCGCGGCATGGTCGTCCTTGCCTCCACCCGGGCAGCCCGCGCAGGGACAGAAACGGAATGACGGAATGACGGCCGTCTCGATGATGACACCAATGCAGACCTGCAGCGCGGCCCGGCGCGGCCCGGCGAGGCCACCACTCCACCGTAAGGGCTAAGGGCCGCGGGGATCGCTATTGGCCACCTCCATTGGGCGAGAGGAAGGAGGAGGACCAAAACCTGTTCCCCTACAGAGAAAGGGGGAGGGAGAAGGAAGCAGCGTCCCGCTGAGTTCCTGCCTCCCTGCCCCCTCCCCCTCCCCACACTCAGTTTTGAAAGAGGTCAGCGAAGGTGTAGGCAAACCGTCCCCGCGGGAAGAGATGCCTCAGCCAAAAATCGTCGTCAGGTATAATAATTCCCGATGGGGAATGGACCAAAAGCTGCCTCAAATATTGACTCGGACTCGCAATTTAAAAAGTTTTTTGGAAATTTGGTGGCTGTGACGTTTCTTTGCAGGAATGACATTTTTGGTTTCTCCCTCAATTTAGCCTGGACTATGTGCACTTCGATACTGCGGCTAACTGTGTCTCACGCTCACTTACTTTCGGACCAACACCACGCAGCCCAGCATTTCAGCGAGCCACTTCAAACTCACGCGCCGCTTTGCTCAAGTTGGCCGTTTCTCCGCCAGGTGGCACCGCCTGTCGGTCGAGTCGCCTCGACTCGACTGTCGTCTGTTCCCTGTTTTCCTCATGGCGGAAGAAAACAAACGAAGCCATTGACAACCAAGCTGCCCTGCCAAGCTTATTTTCTTGGACTAGGACGCCTTATTTTTGCGACTCACCATGCCGTCTCGCATCCGGCATGGGATCGAAAGCGATGCCGCCTCAGGTAAAGTTTCGTTCGCGAGAACTCTTTTGTTAGTATGGCATCGAAATGCGCATCTAACCTATCTTTCGGTAAACTTGAAAATACACTAAATCAATGAAAATAAAGGTCTCTTTCTAAGTTGTTGAATTTAGTTTGGTTGCTTAGGAAGGTATCTGTACAGGGTTCGTCTTGACACCTGTGATGTTTGCTTTCCCATGGCATAGTTTTGGTGTGAAGCAAGTGTAATGGTTAGGCTATTTAATCCTTGGTCTCTTATCATGTATTAAAAGTCAACTATCTTCTTAAATTTACTGGAGAGCTGTCATTTAATTGTGTTTTTACCCCCCAAGTTGTTGTTGTAATACATGGCTGTCATTTGTTCTCCTCAGGTTCTGGCTCAGACTCGGAGTCTGGAGGCTCATCTGGTTCAAGTCGCAGCAGCAGTCGTAACTCAGCTCCTGGTTCTCGGAGAGGTTCACCTGTAGGCTCTCCTGGGGGCTCACCTCGTTCTGGCCCAGGATCTCCTCAGTCGAAAAGATCTGGCAGTCCTGGCTCACGAGGATCTGGAAGCCGTGCATCGAGGAGATCAGGCAGTGCTGCCTCAAACAGATCTGGCAGTGCAGGCTCTCGCAGATCAGGAAGTGCTGGATCCCACAAATCTGGCAGCCCTGCGTCCCGTAGATCTGCCACTCCTGGCTCTCGGCGAACTGGGAGTGCAGCTTCCAACAGATCTGGAAGTGCTGCCTCTAACAGATCTGGAAGTGCTGGCTCGCACAGGTCAGGAAGTCCTGCATCTCGCAAATCTGGCAGTCCTGCTTCTCGAAGATCTGGCACTCCAACATCTCCAAGATCGGGAAGCCGTGCCTCACGAAAATCGGGAAGTGCTGCATCCGGCCGATCTGGGAGTGGGTCAAGGCATTCCGGTAGCCCTGCTGGCTCTCATCGCTCAGGCTCCAGAAGCAGGTCTGGCAGTAGGTCGAAAAGTAGGAGTAGAAGCAGAAGCAGGAGTTCCGCCAAAAGCGCTAGAGCAAGCCGGAGCAGGAGCAGAAGTGGGAGTGCCAGGAGTAAAAGTGGCAGCAGGAGTGGCAGTAGAAGCCGGAGTGGCAGCAGGAGTAGAAGTGGCAGCCGCTCTAGAAGCCGGAGTAAAAGTGGCAGTCGCAAAAGTGGCAGTCGAAGTAGAAGCGGTTCACCTGCCAAATCTGGTAACAAAATTTATATGAATCATGTGAAAGCTTTTATTTTAGCACCTGGAATTATGGAATTTATTGATAGTATTGCCTCTCTTCTTAACAGGAGGACGCCGCTCTGGAAGTGAGTCAGATGCGGGAAGTGAAGTTGGAGGGTAAGTAATCATATTCATATCTTTTCATAATTTAATTTTCAATTAATTTTGCATTATAGCTTATAACCCTTGTTTGGCCTATTCTGTGATTTGTCTTCCAGGAAAAGAAAAAGGGCGGTTCTCAGTGATAGTGGATCGGATGGCGAATTAAAGAAACAGCCTCGTAAAAAAGTTGTTGTTGGATCTGATAGTGAAGATGAAGGGAAAGATGGTCAGGCAAATGGTAAATTGAACTTGGTTTCCTATAACCAAGTAGTACAGCACTTCACAACAATTACAAATATTTGTGAAAAGTTTTGCTTCAATTTTTTTTATTTTTCAGTTGATGCTGAAGCCCTCTTTGGAGATGCTGATGACATCAGTGATGATGATGATGATGATGAAAAGAAATCAGTGAAAGCCTCTGATGATGAAGGTGGTAGACAAAGCCGTATGAGTGAAGGTAGTTATCATAGCCCCCGCCGAGGATCAGATGATGAACCAGAAGAAAGAAGGCCCATGCCAGGGGAGGGTGTAAGTAGTTTATTACATGAAGCTTTAATTTAAGTTCAGACTTTGAAATTTTAGTTAATTCTGGTGGTTTAATTTTACGTTTGAACAGCCTGAGGAAGAAGAAAAAGATGAACCGCCACCAGAAACTATTATTGATGTGGAAATCCCTCGTGTTGGCTGTGATTTGGGTAGAGAAATTAATTTTGTTAAGCTGCCGAATTTCCTTTCTGTGGAGACTAGGCCCTTTGATCATGAGACCTATGAAGACGAAATTGATGAGGAGGAAACTTTGGATGAGGAAGGTAGAGCCAGGTAAGATCTAAAAATATCTAAACTTCTATTATGTCTGTGGAGTCAAGAAAATAGTGCCTTTTTAATTTTAATTTTCTTACAGGCTTAAACTTAAAGTTGAAAACACAATACGCTGGAGAACAGAATTTGACAAAGATGGCAATGCAATCAAAGAAAGTAATGCTAGATATATTAAATGGAGTGACGGTAGTTTGTCTCTTCACTTAGGCTCTGAAATCTTTGATGTCTACAAACAACCCCTGCAGGTAGAGACAAATTCATTTAGCTTATTTTATAGATACATCATAACCATGCAAGTATTTATAACATGGTGCTTTTTTGTGATTTTAGGGGGATCATAACCATCTTTACATTCGACAAGGTACTGGTTTACAAGGACAGGCTGTTTTCCGCACCAAGCTTACCTTTAGGCCGCACTCAACAGATTCCTTTACTCACAAGAAGATGACCTTGTCCTTGGCTGATCGATCAACCAAAACAAGCGGAATCAAAATTATGGGGGTTGTTGGAGCAGACCCAGACATTAACAGATTTGAGAAGATTAAGGTAAATTCTGTTATAACCTCCATCATGTCAGACAGACTACTTGTTTTCTTTTATTTGTAAATGTTTTGCTTTGGTGTGTCTGTGCAGAAAGAGGAAGAGAGACTGCGTGCTTCATTGCGCCGAGAAAGCAAACAAAAACGCATGCGAGAGCGAGGAGCCAACAGAGGCCTATCGTCCAGCTACTTGGAGCCTGACAGGGAAGGTGAAGATGTTTCAGATGATGAAGGGGCCATCTCACTGGCAGCTATCAAAAATAGGTACAAGCCTGGAGCCAAAGGAGCCAAAAGTAAGTAACTTGCAGGCAGTTTCATTTGTTTTTGGCATGAACTTTCCATTTAATTGGACTCAGCACAGGTTTACTTTATTCTGATGGATACTTACTTTTTAATTTTTAGATGACCGTCCCAACATTTATTCCTCAGAAGAAGATGAGGGTTCTGATCTGGAGCTACGCAGAAGTAAGAAGGACAAATCAAAGCAAGCTTTGAAAGACTCCGATGAAGAAAGTGAAGCGTCTGGAAAATCTCCAGCTGCATCTGCCTCCGGCTCAGGTTCAGGCTCGGGTAGCGGCAGTGGTTCTGGAAGTGGCAGTGGCAGTGATAACGAATAATCATGGAAATTATGACAGTCAATCAATTTGTTTTTATGTAAATATGTATGAAAAATTATTATGAACAGAAAAGAAAATCATGTTCTGCGTCTTATCATGCATTGTCCAATGCATTTGAATCATTTTTTCTTGTACAAATGTTAACTTCTAGTGACTGAGTGTACAGTATTCTTTCATCACTGTTGTATACCATTCTAGTATCAGTAGAATGAGCAATGTGTTTTATGCATGCCACACTGCTCCATTTTATGGTCAGATTTGTTTCCACTGGTATTCATTTATACTGATTCACTGAAAGAATAGAGACTTTAAATGCCAATACTATTTAGTTTATTTTCCTTTCCACATTACATCATTCATCTTTTTTACAAACAAATTTGCAGTTTCTTCAGATATGCAAAATATATGTTGTAAATCAATTACAGCACCATAACTGCTAGCCAATCCTTTAAAAGTGTACCAATGACATCTTTCCCCATGGCACACTAAACAATGCTGGGAATCTATATGGCAGGGGTGAGGACAATATTGTAGAAGAACAAGTTGTTTATAGATTAGCAATTCTTGACACTTGACACAAAATGAAAAAAATGCGTGGAGAAGAAGTTTCAGGGTACAAAGTCAACAGTAATAATTCAGTCTGAATTTGATAGTTCTAATTTACATTTTATTAAAACTATAAAACCTACATAACGTTGGCATAAGTGAAGTGAACTCTGAATAAGTTTGCGTTGGCAGGAGTGAAAGTATTTCTCATTCAGAGTATCACAAAAGGGCTTTTCATTGATTCATTGAAATTTAGTCTCCTAGTAAGGTGGAGAGCACAGTCTACTATGCTCATCCAAAAAAAACAACAACAAAAAAACAGCAATAGCATCTCACAATTTTTGTGCCTCTTGTCCATCTTCTTCAAACAATGTCTCCAAAATGACAGATTGAGCCTGGAATATTTAATGTAAGATCACAGCATTGGAAAATGGATGACAATCATGGTAAAGAGAAAGATTACAAAATAAAAAAGAAGTCTCAGAAGTTGAGCGAAGTTGAGCTGTATCAGTCTGGTGCGGTCGATGAAAGACATCTCACATCTGCTGGCTTGAATATCAGTCTGCATATGTTTTGAGAGAATGGAAGTCCTAATTTATTAGTACAACTTTGCTGATAACAAACTTTTCAATTTTGTTATATAGTTTCACTGATCCAATGGTTACAAGTGCAACAAATGAAAGTCTCTCACCAGATACAATTTAGAATGAAGGAGTAAAAACAAATAGCACTATATAATTTAAAGATGCTTGCAGACTGTGTTTAACCTAGAAGGATCTTCCCGAGCAAGGGGTTTTGTTCTATTTGAGGCAAACTGAACTCAAAGTGAGATTGAGACTACAATACAGTGTAACAGAATAAAAAGCAAAATTATTTATAAATAAGCTAAGAAGTTGGAAGTGGATAACCACTGCTCAATTTAGTTAAAAAGAAACTATCAACAAAATACAAACAATATCACAAGGTTACAAACCATAAACAAAAATTCATTAAGGCAATAGATGATGGGTTTCATATGTGCATACACAACAAACAGAAAATCTGACAGTTGATGGCATTTTCCTTCGAGTAGACTGATAGAAAACTGAAGGGACACATTCATGAAACTTATGGTCAACTTTATGGTCAGTAACTAAAGAGCTATATCACAATATCTGCTGGTTACAATACTGATGTGAAAAAACTTTATCGCAGAACTAAAATTTAGGTAACTTAAAATTGGATGCATAGGTAGGACATTATCTAAAATGATAAAGGATATTTTTTTAGTCATTCAACTGCGGCAATTCATAGTAGTTAAGGTTCAGACTACAAAACATCTCATAAGAAATAATTGAGTGTCCATCTCTCTTTTCACACCAGTATTGTTTGCTTAAAATAAAAGTTCACCCATATGAAGAGAATTAATTAAAATTAAAATGAAGTCTAACAAAACTCTGGCATTTAAGACAAATCAAAACTTATTTAGGTGGCTATGCCAATTAAAACAAATGACTGAAATTTTCTTGGGGGAAAAACAACAACAAAAAACATTAAGGGCATGGGGCACATTTCTGTTTCACAGATAAAAGCCATAATTAAAAGGGACCTTCAGAGGAATTTTAAAGAAAAACAAATTATAATGTAGACTTTGGTCAGAATGGGAAGGATATGCAGTCCTCCAAGAACAAAGACTTGTTATTACATTTTATCGACACTGACTAACAATAACACATTTTTACTTCCTATACATGCAAACTTCTATTACAGATACATCCTCTTCAGAATAAACACATCCAAGAACACTGTCTCACATTTAGACAAACACATTCTCACTAACACATTCATCCAGGTGTCAATACTATTCGTGAAAATATGTACAAGCACAGACATAGTAGAAATGTGCCTTGCAAGTTTTAGCACTAGGCAAACGGCAGTCAAACCAGTACAGCTCCCGCAAGTGAGGTCAAGGGCAATTTTACTCGCAGTAGGCTTCGAAAATAATTGAAGGCCTGACACAACCAAGCCAGTTGTAACATTTGAAGAGCAGATTCCACTCAGAGCCTCCAGCTTGACTGTCCAAACTACGGCACATCCGGAGAGAACACTGGTTTCGTTGCTGGTGCCTGATGCTAGTCAGGGCCGTCAATACGCCTGCAAAAAAAATAATGCCAAAAATTAGTCAACTCGGGTAGGTTGGGCCCGGTCATGACAGCACAAAGAGACGGAGGGGAAACCCCGCCATGGTTGGGGCCAGTAGCCACCGCAGAGCAGCGCTGTGCAGCGCAGTGCCTACCTTGACCGCAAAGGCGGTGTCGTAGCCGCCCTTGCCCTGCATCTGCGTCTGGATGGCGCGGAGGTGCGAGTTGCCCATCTCCACGTCCCCGGACCCGATGTGCCCCGTGTGCCTGAAGTTGGTGGGCTCCCCGATCATGGACCGGTCGATCCGCCGCCGCTGCTGTTGCTGCACTCGTTTCCGCTGGAAAATTCATTCAAATAATTAATTTTTATTTTAAAATCTGCTTTGACATTAGCCTTAACTTTTTGACAAAAGAAAAACAATGAAAAAAACATGTGAAGAGCCAAGTGACAAACACGCAAACACTTACTCTGTTGGCTGGTTGGTTGAGACAGCACGAAAACCACTGCATCCACATGTCCCCCGACATGTTGGTGGACTGGAGGCCTGACATCCTGGGCCTGTGGAACAAAAAGACGAAGGTACACCGTTAACAACACAGCTCCAAATTCGAGGACGCCATCAACGGCACCCAGCAGCCAGCTTGGCCCCAGCCTGGCAGCGTTGCCGCTACCCACCGGCACCGGGTGCCTTGCAGGGCTGCAGGTTGCAGGACGTTGCAGGACGCTGCAGGGGCACATGAGCACTGCACCGGCCCCCCCCCTGCCGCCCTGCCGGCTCGGCCCTGGCAGCCCTGGACAGGTGGACGGCATGGTCGGTCGGGCTCGGGGCCCAGCGGGCCGCCCAGGCCGCCCCGGCCGGGCCGACACTTTCCCCGCATCATTTGGCCGGGCAGACCACGGCGGACACGGCGGACCACGCGACGCGACGACGCGTCACCATGGCGACCAGATTTATCACCGGGCAGCCGATAAACTCGCCTCGAGTCGGGTCGCCTGGTCGCGTCAGCGTCGTCAGCGCGGCCATGCGAGAGAGAGAGGAGAGCAGTCCGGGCTGCGAGTCCACCCCTGGTCCTTCCCTCACGACACGGACGCGAAGCACAGTGGCGGATCTATAGAGACGACCCGAAGGAGGGACAGTGTAAGCACTTTTTGCCTGCGCTTACAGCGGCAAAGCGTGGCTTTTTTTCCACCTTTCGGGCGACTACCTAGGGTCCTTTCGCTTCCCGCTGGATGCGCGCCTGGCGAGGCTGGAGGCACCCCGCGCCGCGGTCCCCGAGTCACGTCCGGAAGGGCTGCAGGGTACCTGCCAGGGTACCTGCCAGGGCCACGGCCTCGCGCGGCCTCGCGTGGCGCGGTGACGGTGCATTAGGCCCTAATTAGGTCGGCGGAAAGGGAAAGGGAACGAAGGGAGCGACCGGGCCATAGGGCAGGCCGGGCCGGGCCGGTGCAGCGCATTGTACAAGGTGTAAAAAGGGATTACGGAGCAGGGCGGCCCGGCCGTCCCTTGGGCCCTTCCCTCGTTGCGTCACCGCCACTCCGCCGCGCCCCGCCACTGGGGGCGGCACCGCCCCGCCGTGCCCCGCCTTGCCGGATTGTTCCTACGCGATAAGTGGTTCCCCGCGACACGCGACTGCAGCACGGCGACGACGAGAGCACGCCGACAACGAAGCCGAACCCGGTGGCGACGGCCTGGCGGCCCAGCAGCCAGCCACGCTGCAGGCAGGGTGTGCCGTGCACGTACACCGTGCAGCCAGCACACCGATTCTCAGAGTCGCTTTCCGTCCGTCTCTCTCGCGCCTCCAGGGCTGCAGGGGGACGCCCCACGAGTGCGAGAGAGACAGAGTTCTGGCGGCAACACAACGGCGCCGCCTGGAAAAACGAACGGCGGGGCCAATTAATTGGCGGGTGCATCAAGGCGACAACAAGGCGGCGCTTTGCCTGGCTGCCTGCCTGGCTGCCTGCCTGGCGATGCGCTTGGTGCTCCGCAGCGCGTGCCGCCCGTGACCTGCATGGCGCCTAATGAGCATGAACGGCGCCGCGTGCACAGACGGCACCACGCCGACGACGCCGCCGCCGCGGCCACTTCTGGCCGTTTACCCGTTCGGGCCGCCGTCCGCGTCCGTATTTCTGTCCGCCGCTGTGCCGCTTCGCTTTCATCAGGCAGCCATTGCCGTTCCGTCGCTCCGTCCGCGCTTGCGCCGAGCCTGGCCGCCCTGGCCGCCTCGCCGCGCTACCATTCCGAACGCGCAACGCGCCGTCTCCGACTTCTCTGACTCCGTCTCCGCGGGGCACCCAGAGCTAATGACTCACCACCGCCAGCCCCGCCAGCCCCGCTGCTGCTCCCGCCCCCCTCAACCGCAGCGAGACGACGACGGCGGCGGCCGCCAGATGTGAAACCATACACATCCACGACGTCGCCGCCGTCGCCTCGGAGAACCCCGGTAAGAGCAGGCGAGAGCACACTGGTAAAGCAGAGTTGTACACGCTTCGTTCAAGCCCACAACGACGCTTGAAGTCAATAATCGCCGGGAACGCTTGAAGTCAAAGGTAGTACCAACCAAAACCCTTGAAGGGGCCGTCAAAGTACACACGCTTCAGTTCTACCAGTGCGGGCGAGAGCGCGGCGCGGTACCGTTTCCAAACCAGGCCGGAGAGCGCATCGGCAGGGACCGTCGCCGATTGGCGGAGCGGCGCTAATGGCCGCGCGGTCTGTTTACATTGCATCGCCGGCGTGATGCGTGATTCACGGGCAGCCAGCAGGGTCCGCGGCCACGCGGCCACGCCACCGGCCGAAACGGCGCGGCCACGCGGCGCCACAGACGGGGAGGGAGACAGAGGGACCGGGACAGACCGGGACGACGCCGGGGACGCCGTGACTCACCGCCCGATTCGCGGCGCGGGGCGCGCGGCGTCCGCATGTCACGCGTGTCGCCCGCTGCCGCCTATCTTATCGCGTCACTGGTGGAGCCGCGCGGACGCGCATCCACGGCGACAACGTTCGCGACGTTCCACCGCGCGTCCGCGTCCGCCCGCTCCGCCGGAAGAAACGCTGGCGGGCGGCGGAAATGCGTTTGGTGGAAAAATGCTCTTGGGCGGAAGAAATGCGGCAGAAAAGCCTAAAGCACCGGCGGCCTTAGCGCCTGCGAGGTAGGCCAGCGGCCCGTGCCGCGAGACACCGGCGAAGGGACGGCGGCCTACCTCGCCCCTGTGAAGACGCCAGGCGCGAGGCAGGCCGCCGTCTCCACACCGGTGTCTCGCGGCACGGGCCGCTGGCCTACCTCGCAGGCGCTAAACAGTGCGCACGACAAACGGAACTTTAGCGGCTGCTGAACCTTGACGGTGCATACAGCATTCGCGACCAAAGGGGCTCAGAGAGAAAAGAACCACGTCCTACACACTAAATGTTACGTACAATTTTGTACGAGACATCACAGTTTTTCGTGCAAACGAAATTTTAGTACAATTTTTGTACGAAAAACTGCACATTTTTCGCCACTTTTGTACGAAATTGTACAACATTTTGTACAAATTTGTACGAAAAGTTCGTGTGCACAAAAAACTGTGATGTCTCGTACAAAATTTGTACAAAAACATTTAGTGTGTAAGAAGGTCGTCATCGCGGTCGTCATCTTGCTCGTCAGCCGCCAAGCGGTTCGGATGACCGGCAGCGCGGCAAGGGTCCGCCAGGCTGTCTTGAACGCCTCGAAACGGCAGGCCGATCCCGAGCAGTGCTTTCGTCGCTTTGCCTCCTCTCGCAGTCTCGGGGCGTTCTGTAGACGGCGCGCGCGCGAGAGAGAGCGAGAGAGAGACAACACTGTTTTGAATCAGCCGGCAGGAGCAGAGCATTCGCCGCGCTCCAAGGCACCAAAGCTCAGGGCCGCCGCCGTCGTCGGCACCGCACCGCGTACACAGCACTCACACTCACACACGGCGCGGTGTGGCGCGGCGCTGCACGGCGCGCTCCGTTTCGTTTGACTGACGTAACCCTTAGTTTCGTGCTGGCTCGATTCCAAGTCATTTCTTTCGGAGAAGTGATGGTGCGGGCAGCAAGGCAGCACGGCGCGCCGGGCTTCGTGTAAACGGGGACGCCTCGCCGCACCGCGCCGCCGGCCAAGGTCCTAAGGTCGACCACCCCCTCCCCCTTTACGCCCCGGACACAGACAGACACGGACAATCTCGCTGACAAGAGAGGTACACACACACACATGCACGCACACGTGGCGGTATCCGGGTGTACACACCGCATTTCCAGCATGGACCACGGCGCGGACTGTTTATTGAGTGTAGGTGTCTAAGAGCGAGAGCGCGCGCGTGTCCGTGTGTGTGTGTGCGTACGTGTAAGTGCGCAGTGCGTCCATATTCGGCATACAAGCGACAGCCTCATCCTCTCCGTCTGACGCGCCGGTGCGAAAAGGACACACCGCCAGGCCGGCCAGGAAGCGGAACGCAGAGTCATGCGCCTTCCCCGCGGCGCACCAGTCGCAGTTGACAACAACAGCGACAACAACAACAAAATATAAAGAATAGGAGGACGGGAAAGAAAAGACGCTTTTCCGACAGTGTAGGCGCGGCCGCGCGGCTCCCGGTCAGACAAAGGCGATCGTGTCCTTGGTCCTGCTGGAGCCTCGGCTGGAGCCTCGGCTGGAGCCGCCGGGGCTGCTGGACTCCAGGCGAAGCAAGCGGGCGTCTTCCAATATGATGACGAATCAGACGGCTGCTGTGCATGCTCGCCTTGCTGCTGGCTGTTACGTTTAGAGGCCGTCCCGCCCCGCCTCGCCTCACCCCGCCTCGCCCCGCCCCGCCCCGCCCCGGCCCGCCCCACCCGCAGCCTTTCCCATTGAACATCGATATGGGCCCGGATCGCAGCAGCAGCGCAGCGCGGACCCGCGCGTGGGGGCCTTGCCGGGCCTGGCCGCCACACTCGCATAAATCAATTTAAAAATCAACACCGAAAATAAAACGCGATCAGGCGGAACAGCCCCGGCCGGCAGTGCTCCGCAGCGGACCGACTCCGCGGCGCGAGTTACGGAAGCGAAAGGCGGTCGCTGACAAAAGCAAAAGGCCGAGTAAGCCAAGCAAGCCGAGCAAGCGAAGCTATCTAGCGCCGAGCTGCACTAGCAGTGCAGTGCCTTGCAGCGCAGTGCTCGCGCTATAGCGCTGACTACCTGCTGAGTCGACACGGCCCGCGTTTATCAGACAGTGCAGTGGCGTGCAGTGCCGTGGCTGCCGCGCCCTGCCGCGCCGCGCCACGCCCTGCCCGACAGCACGCGCAGGCGGAGCAAGGCAGAGCAGCGGCAGCGCCTCCGTTCCAGCGAAAGTGTGCTGATAGTTGTTGTCTTCTCTTTGCGATTCTTTTTCTCGTGTTTTTATTTTCTTTCTTTTTTCGCGAGCGAGCGGGCGAGCAGACGGGCAAGCAAGCGGTTTAGTACGAGAGCACTGTCAACAAACCGGTGCGGCGCCGCGAGGGGGAGGGGGAGGGGAGGGGAGGGGAGGGGAGGGGGAGGGGGAGGGGGGCGGAACGGCAGCACGCGCGTTCCGCACTACCAAGTGCGCACCTC